AACGTGTGTGCAAATATTTTGCACCGAGAAGTAAGTAAGTACGTGTAAAGTGGTACGTTCGTGCAGAGGAAGAAACGAATCGGATTGGATAGAACGATTCGCATCGTGATTCACCTTACAGGGTGATTCATTGTAATAGGTGGACGGATACACGCGGCGGGGCTTTTCAGGTGTCCAGTGTGTGTTCAGATGGAAACACTGGGTAAAGAGAGAGAGAGGGAGGGAGGGAGAGAGAGCTAAGGCAATTGAAGTGGTTCGTTAAAATTTTTCGGTGGAATATCTGCGAAGTGGATGGTCAAGGATAAAACTCAAGGTCACTTGAATTTTTATTCAATTCAGATGAGGGCTGATTGAAGAGAGAGAGAGAGAGAGAGAGAGAGAGAGAGAGAGAGAGAGAGAAAAACACTCAAATGTTTCAAATTTCATACAAGAAATCCTTGATCCACAAACATTCTTTTTGCTCGTATAATATTATTTACGATATACATTCCAATACGGACGATAGACGGGAACCTTATATCAGTAGGACAGGCCCGTAGTCGGATTTATTCTTCGAACTGGAATTCACGCTGCTCTCGGTTGACCGGGTCCGTTTGTAAACGAATTCACAGGCCACGTAAGGCCGTTCAGTGATTTTGTTACACGCGCGCGCCAGCTGCGGCTGGCTGCCTTTATGCGCTTCGTATCTTTCCATGACCGTTGCCAGAACGTGTTCAGGATTTATGTATATCAGTACATTATTCCTTAGCTGAACCCACGAAGCGTAGCAGAACTAATTGATCAAACTGTTTTATTGCATTAATACGAGTATTACTACTCATGTTGGTAGAGGGGTAAATGTTACTCTCGAGAGACGATGGTAGCGATAATGCAGATGGCGCCACGAATTCTTGGCTTCTCCCTCGATAATTTAACCAATAATTGAATTCTTGAAGTTAACCAAACGAATTCTCGAGTCGATACATCGAAATTGCGACGGTAAGAAACGTTAACTTTCTCGAAGAAGTTACTAATCGTGTTCCACGAAAAGTATTAAAACGACAAGGTTTTGTCAATTACGGATAAAGAAGAGTCGTTGGAAAAGGGGGCGATTTTATTACGTCCGTTTCAACGGGCCAACCGATCTCTAAGGAATTATGAGGCAGAGAAAAAGGTAATCATTTCTGACACTATTTTTGACTAGAAAGTCATATTTCCTGGAAAAAGAATGAGGAAGTTCGTGAATCTATGGAAAATCGTTGCAATTTGGTATAGTGTCTGTACGAAACACCTACTCGATGTAGATTGTGAAAAATAAACATTGTTGCATTGAAATTTATTGTTAATAAAGTATCTACATTAATGAAACTAATATAAATAACAAGTAAATGATACATATCTGTTGATCGTGATCGTACGAACAAAACGCTGCTTAATCACACAAAATCGTAATGTTTAACTTTCATCATATCTATATCTGTGGTACTTATGTGTTAGACACGCTTCTACTCCACGAGTGGAAGTCTAAATTAATTTACCAAGAAAATACAATCTGCGTTGAATGGGCGTATTACTTATGGTACCGCAACGAACATCTAACGCCGCGGATGAACATTTAATGCGCATAAATAATACTTAGAAAGTCGCAGGATCGTGGCGTGAAAAATCGTTACCCAGATTTGGTTCATTTTTAACGAGATACTTTTTAGAGTGTCGGAAGAACGCTCGACGTGAACACTCGACGTTAAATGGTAAAAATCACGAAGCGAAGCGTGTCGAAAAAATTAATTGCGATACCGTTACGCGCATTAAATTCAAACGTAAATTTATAAAATATATTCAGGCGATGATTAAAATATGACACGTGGAAATTCTAAAGAAATTAAAATCTTAGCTGCAGCGTAAAAAGAGTAAAAGATACACTTTAAAAAAATCGAATATTATATTCCAGAAGTTGAAAAGAAAATTTTTAAGATAGCAACCGCACATACGCACTGAACGAATACAGTAGTTAACCTCCGCGCCTGTAATGCCAGGCGAACGTGCAAAATTACACGTTAAAAATATCGAAAGAGTCGATTATTAAAGGGACAAGCGATTGCCATCCAAACGTGGAGAATTCAAGTACCGCCGGAGGATGCATCTTTGTGCACACCTGAATTAAGGTGGCATTCACACTGAGGCGTGATCGAGACAAAGAGGTGGTGGATATTCTTATAGGTACAACCAGCGTCCACCTATGGTGGCAATAAGTATAGAACGGTAAACGCGCGCCGCATACTCATTCTCTACGATCCCGTCTGGCTGATCTGTTTGTAATGCGACATTCATCGTGAATAGAATCCGAGAAGGAAACGCGCCTTAACGCGATCTCGCCGTATACATAATCCCGTGCTTTCTACGCTGATGCTCGAATACAACAGGTCTCCTCTTAGTTTTTCAAAATGGCCACGAAAGGTCGTGTGAAACGGTATATCCAGCGAATCTACATTAATTTCCCGCGGTTATAACAGCACCAATAACAATAACGAATAAACGATGTGACTTAGAGCCGTTACAATATTCGATCAACGTATTTGAGAAAATGTAGGCCAACGAATGTATAAATGATTGTTTACAGAATTATTATATATTGTAAAAATTATCAAAATAGAAAGACTAGAGAGAATGTTACGAATATTTCAACTTTGTTACGGCGCTAACAAATGTGTTTTGACTTGTACGAAATACACGACAATCGTGAATTCATAAAAAAAAGTGAAATATTCTGTATAAGCGACGTTTCGTAATTTTAAAAAATATTTTAGCGGCGGGATCATAAATTATATAATTTACACGTATCAGCATTCATTGTTTATAAATATTACTCAGCGAGCAGGTCGCGCGGAGGTCCGTTCATTGGAAACTGAGTCAAAGTGAAGGACCTCATTTAGCCACCCCACGTGCTATTGAACGCGTTTTACGGCCTGTGAGCATGTATCCCGCTACTTTCGCAGGAGTCGTTAATTTCAGTGCGAAAATCATCGGTTTATATGATTTACACACGACGGCGCGGGGCCTAGCGTAGCTGCATGCTTCTTACCGGGGGAGCGGCGTTGAAACGAAAGCTGAAAACAAAACCGACACGAGGAAAACGACAGGAAACGGGAATCGCGCGTGGAAAACGAGCGAAAAATACCTATAGGCAAATTCAACCGTTTCAACGCACAAGTCCATAAACTCCTGACTAAATTATTCACTGAAAAAGAGCGACAAGTTCGAAACACGTTAGTCTGATACAATGTGCATGAGGGGAATAGAAGAAGCTGCATCGATAAATAATCGATTGTACTCTTGGTGTCTTATTCTTGATAGAAATGAAGGTTTGCTTGTATTGTAAATTCGAAAAAAAAAATCATGTCAGATTGCGTATAAAATCAAATGAGCATCAAAATAGAATAGAAACGAATAGTCCTGCATCTAAAATAACATTGTTTAGAATAAAATTCGTCTGTTACGTTACTTTTAATGCTTTTATTATGAATATATCAGCGGTCGCTATCTTTCAATCGACAAAGATCTTACCTGCCAGCCGATTGGACGATCGAAGCCGGATAGTCCTCATTAACCGGTTCGATTCGCGTTCCTGGCAAGAACGACCGAGACACGGTCCTTGCCCGAAAATCGGCTCCGCTTGTGAATGCAGCTTAACGGTGGAAGGCAGGCCAGTCAGCCAGGAGAAATATGCACACATTCAGGTCCCGCCGTTCGTGAAGGACCAACACTGACGCCCCATGGCGCGATCATACACTATCCAACACACAGAAGACCGGCGACCTCTCTCTTCTTGGAAACAGATGACAGTGACTTGGTCACCGTACCCACGAGACGTCCCACAGGACACTTTTACGTCGCGATCTTATTCGACGGAACGCGACCACTTGATCATCGTACACATACGTGCCACCGGCTCCATTGGCCTCCACTCCTCTATCTTCTTCTTCTTCTTTCCCCCTTTCCTTTTCTTTCCACTCGCTCGTCTGTTCTTTTCACGGTGAACGCGAGAATTCGTAAGTCTCTTTGATACGCGAACCGAGGTGACCGCGTGCTAACTCCAACAACTCAGAGAAAGGGAACGACGAACAAGTTATCCGATGCAAGCACACGCGAGATAACGAGGGAGGGATGCAGGCACTAGCATTCGATTCGCGCCACTACCTCCGTGTCGTCTTTTAATAACGTAGAACGAGCGCGGCACATTCGGCACACCATGTTCCACACGCCGTGTCTCTCGGTTCCTTCTTCTCTATTCCACGATTTTTGCACGTTCTACAGTACTACCCGACGCTTACATTGTTCTTTCGATCCTTTCGTTTTCTGTGCTTCTAGCTATCTGATTACGAAGCAGGAGCGCGCGCTTCAAACGAATACCGTGCACGATGTGCACGATCGTGGTACGAACAGCCCTCGGGGGCCGTGCAAATCATCCCCACCGTCGACGCAACCGGCATCACACTGAAAACCGGCTGATTCGAGTGTTGCTCTCGAGCATGAAGCGGGAATGCGTTCTGCGATAGGCGCCATCTTTCAAACGAATGAGAAAGCGTCTTGCTTGATTCATTGGTATCGATAGGATAGGTTTTGGCGGGCTCTCAATGTAGATTTAAACGTGAATTATTATACATGGATAAAATTAATAAAAAATGTATATGATAATACAAAGGTACTAACAAATAATGCTATTAATTATAAGTAAATATTATTACAAGATATTTTCGCTGGTGTATATAATAATAATGCTATACAAAGTTGATTGAACAAATTTGCATTGCATATAGTCTATTACAAAATACAATTTTAAGATGTAGAGGTATTAAATCGTATTGTATTAGGAAATGAACTTTGAAATTTTAATTCGGAATAAATGAAACAAATTTTACCACAAGATTGCCAATCTAGCTCATAAATAGTTTATGTTCTTTCTGATATAAATGCTGTTAAGATGGTTCAACATCACTATTCAACGGAGTCTAGTACAAGAGTTGGCGAGAGGAAGTTAGAAAGATGAGTACCGTTACGTGTATAGCACCTGTCAATATTGCTGTTATAAAATATTGTATGTACATTTTTATGCCTTTTCTTTTATTGTTATAATAAATAATAACAATTACTATAATAACAAGTTAATATATTTTTTAACAGATTTATATATACACGAAATTTATTATCATATCATAAATAAGTTGCTAACTGTATTTGAATGAAAATTGTAAAAATTTAGCAATTTTTATATATGAAAAAATAAGATAAAT